AGGAGGAGGAGAAGGAGGATGGGTGAGGAGAAGGAAAAGGAGGAGGATGGGTGAGGAGAAGGAGGAGGGGGGTGAGGAGGAGGAGGATGGGTGAGGAGAAGGAGGAGGAGGGGTGAGGAGGAGGAGGATGGGTGAGGAGAAGGAGGAGGAGAAGGAGGATGGGTGAGGAGAAGGAAGAGGAGGAGGTGGATGGGTGAGGAGGAGGAGGGGTGAGGACAAGGAGGAGGAGGAGGAAGGAGAAGGAAGATGAGGATAAAGATGAGGAATTTTATAAAAAGTCTTCCTGGTAGAAAATGTCTTACCAGCTACAGATATATAAAATTGGTATTAACCTTGACTTATTTTTCAGAGTTTGCCAGGCAATGGGGAATACCACTGAAGGCTTCTTCACACCCGTGGACCATCCCTCTCGGCCCACTACCATGAGCTACCTTGGAACTTTAGCTCCTGGGAAACCATGACCATGAGAGCCCAGGCAATGGTAGCAGACCTATTTGTCTCTAGCAGCAGAATAGAATATTTCAGTCTTATCTGCAATCTAAATACTTTTTTTTCATTCATAAAGGGCACGTTTCCTCCACGCAGTTAAAGGAGCAGAGGTCACCGTGGCAGTTCCACCCTTTCTACTTACATGGCACAGTGCAGTGGAGTGAAGGGGTTGCCAACAAATTTCCGAAAACATTTCTGCTCCAAAAGTACCTCAATGCAGTTTTCATTGCCTGCAGAGAACACACAAATTTAGAGTTTCCCCAGACAGAAGTGCTGTTCAGCACAGTCTGGCATCCTTTAATTTTTTAATTTCCCATTAAGGGTTCGGCTCTAGCATATGAATTTTCCTGAATTTGGCAGAATGCCCGCTCTCTGTGGAATAAAATGAACAAAACGCCGAAATGTTATTAACCACGCTCACAGGTGTTCTGAGATACAATGAGTCAATCAAACAGCGAGGAGCATATGGCCTGGTGGAGAGAGATAAAACGTCACGTCATTGGCCAGCGGAATGGATTTGGTGTCACCCTCAGCTCTCGAGAGACGCCCGACATCAGCATTGCCTCAGTTTCCCCAAGTTTATAATCGGGACATTTTCCTTTCATCCATACCAATAGGTTAGCCTTATGGTGAACAGCACTGCACTGAGACTTGTAAAGCCTTCTCTGCCATTGTCTTAACTAAGGTCTCTAGAGCTACAATAAAGCACTGGAACCAAAAGCTCACCGTCCAGGGCAGTCAGGGCAGGGATGGTAGGAGCGGCCATGGAGGGTGCTGCTTACTGGCTTATTCCTCAGGGCTTGCTCAGCCTGCTCTCTTACAGTGTCTGGGACCACCAGCCCAGGGACCACCAGCCCAGGGACCACCAGCCCAGGGATGCCGCTGCCTATAGCTTGGGTCCTCCTGCAGTAATTACGAATCCAGAAAAATCTACCATAGGCTTGCCCGCCGGCCACTCGGGTGGGGGTGTTTTCTCAGTTGAAGTTTTCTCCTCCCAAATGACTCTATCTTGTGTCAGGTTGAGATAAAGCAAGCTGGACACCACCAATTTTCTAGCACATTCCACTCCTCAGTGGGAGACTGAGTCTGAGCAGTTAAAACTGGAGAGTGGCTTGCTACTTTCAAAATTTCATAGTGCCCAGCGAAGGAGACTCTGGGAGCTTCGACCTCAGACCTGGAGGGGGTCGCTCAGGAATTCCAGAATTGGGGATTGATTGCTGGGGAGCAGTCTGCTCTCTTCTGCTTGCACCGGCAGGGGTTCAAGAGCAGAAAGAAGGACCCAGCCCCAGGGAGATGGTGTGGGCTATGGCAATTGTGCGTCTTCCCTCACATCTGGGACTCCCCTGTGCTCTTCTTTTTCCGTTGTTGGTTCTTTCTGGCCAGCGAGCACTCACAAGTTGTAGGTTAAAATGTTATTTTTGATAAAAAAAATTCAATCCGCCAATGGTAGCAGAGGGGCAGAAATAAGTTATTACAGCAGAACCAATGAAGACTTAGTGAAGAAACGGGCATTCTTACGTCAACGTAACTGGAGCCCAGGAACTCTTTCCAGACATAAGGGTCACGCTAAAATCCTAACAGAACTGAAACAGAAATACAAAGCCACAGATGTAGAGTAAGAAATATTTGTAAACAATATCTGTTATCTTAGGGGGTATATATGAGATCTTCTTAAGCAAGGCTGGCTACAGAGATACTATGAAAAGCAGATGAAAGCTCCAAACATCAGCATGGAAGAAGGCGCTCCAAAGAAGGAAGGAAGCAGACACTGCCACAGATAAGGTGTCGGGCTCTTCAGACACAGGAGAACTCGTAGGCTCTTCATCAAGAGAAAGAAGCCCGGATGGAAAAGGCCTCTTTCAGAGAGGAAACAACAGGCAGTAAACACGGCAAGAGGCTGGGAAACACAAAGAGACACGTGTGTTTTACCCTTGGTGTTGGCAAAAATAAAAAAGAGGGTTGAGTCATTCTGGGTTGGCAAAGTTGTGGAAAAAGTACTTTGATACACATTAGAGCAGGCCTTTGTTCAGTATGACTCCTTGCCATTAAAAAACATGCATTTTAAAAATTTCACTTCTGGATATTTAATGAGGTTTTTAATGCTATAATATGAATACACATACTGCCACAGTGTTTATGACAGAAAAGAAACCCCAAAATTAATCTGGATGATTATCAAAAGGGAGCTGGTTGAATACACAGTCTAGCGGAATCACCCGGATGACACGCCACTCACCATTATAGCAAGCCCAGTGCAGGGGCGTGTAGCCCTGGTTGTCTTTGAGGCAACAGTCCTCTTCCGACTGGGCAATCTGGAGCAGCTCACTCAGCCACGTGGCATGGCCCCGAGCGGCCGCATAGTGCAGGGGCGTCCTGCCTCTGGCGTCTCTGCAGAGGACGCACGCGTCTTGTTCCAGCAGCAATTGCACACATTCCTCATGTCCTGTCATAATCTGGCACACGGCAATGAAAACACAAAACAAACCGCAGTTGGCTGGGGATGACGGCGTTGGGGGTGGAAGCCCCGCCCATGCCTGGCCTAGGAGGAGCAGGGGGCATTGCTGAGGAGGTAGGAGGGAGAACAACCCTAGTCAAATCCCTGCTGGAAAATCCCACGAGACACATAACCACGCCCAGCGTGTCTCCCTGCTGGACACTGTGGGGTCGCAACACTGGCAAGTGTTTGTGTGTCCCAATGGCAAAGGCACAGAGAGAGCTCTACAGGAAAGGATTGTATATCTCCAGCTCCATTATAACCGTGTGAGATCGCTGTCATGTATGTAGCCTGCCACTGACGGGCACATGTATGTAGAGTGCCCAGATCTGTCACATGGCCCAAAAGAAGTGCCCAGAAATAAGAGCCATGACTATAGCAACACGCATGGAAAACTCTTTCTGCCCTTTCTCAGCAGGGTGTTCACACCACACCCACAGAGCAGTTTTGTGATTTTTACCTTTGTACCTTTAACTTATTATTGTCCTGCAAAAAAACAACTCTGCAGATGTGTGCAAAGAATTGGCCACGGGACACACAGTGCCATCATTTGTCACACGGAGCCACAGAAATAGCGTGAGACTGCTCAAAACCAGGAAGTCACAGAATGCATTCTGGCACCTACACACAATGGGGCATTAGAAATGGCCAGCCAGAAAAATACTTAACAGCATGGAAAATGGTCCTTTATATATACTAAGAGAAAAAAGACCATATGATGCGAGTGTATGTGTATACGTGTGAGTATTTGTGCGTGTATGTGTATATATGTGTGTGTGTGAGTACATGTGTGTATATGTATATATGTGGAGTATATGTGTGTACATTTGTGTGTATGTGTATATGTACATATCTGTGTGTATCAAGCACATGTGTGCATGTAAATGTATATACGCGTGAATATATGTGTGCATGTGTATATTTATATGTATGTGCAAATGAGTATATATATTTGTATGTATGTGTATATGTATGCATGTGTGTGTATTTGTGTTTATGCCTGTGCATGTGTGGATGTGTATATGTATGCATATATGTATATATGCATATACATGTGTGTATTTGTGTGTGTATGCATATGTATATATGTGTGTGTGCATGTATATATGTGTGTATGTATATGTATCAACTACAGGAGATATAATTACTGGTGATTGTGGTCTTCTTTTTCTGCACTTAAAAAAATGTTTTGCAATTTTCTGTGATACACATTTTGCAATCAGAAAGGTGAGCTGATCCCTCCACGGTAGGTGTTCATGTGTTTATTTTCCCAGTCTAACACAAAGTCTTAAAGCAGGACCTGACCATAGTTTTCATTATTCTATAATTGTATCAAATTCTGCAATTTCATTTTGACTGTGGAGCTAATTGATTGTTTTATGAAACAAATCTTATCCCCTAAAATCTCACACCGGATAAAGCCAAGCAAGTTCACTGAAAAGGCCCCTGACTAAAGCTGAGAGAAAAACATGTACCCCTCTGTGCAGAGCTGTGCACCCCACTATGTCCACAGCGTCAACATTTGCTTCCTTCTCCAGCAGCAACGAGACAGCATCGATGTGTCCGTACGCTACTGCAAGCATCAGTGGCGTTCTGTGGAGAGAGAAAGGAGATTAAAAACTGCTTCCAGTGAGAGAAGACTTTTCTCTCTATTGTTATTAATTGCCCAATATTTTCTGTGTATCTAATTTGCTGTTCTGTGCCGTGGAGAACAAGAGACCGACTTCTGTTCCAAGGGACTCGTGGGATGGTGGCATAACGCATAGGCCCAGGGCAAGGCAGGGAACAGTCTCATCTCAAGTCATTGCATTAATTCTACCATTCTACCTGTGTGGCAAAAGCTAGGTGCCAGCTGGCTGGGGTGTGTGCACGCAGAAGAGCCCTTGATCACACCCCAGCAACTCTCCTTTCCCAGCAACCGATGCTGACCTCTGTCTGCTCCAGACTTACCTCCACGGACAGAGCTTCCTGGCTTTGAAAATACGTCTGACTCGTGTAGAAGATGGGGCCCTGCTCTGACTGGCACTCAGACTCATTCACCTGGGGATAAGCAACTCGAGTCTTTCTGTCTGCCCTTCTTATTTGTAAGGAGAGCCTGGGTGAGGAACAGGCCAACAGAGAGAAAAACAGACGCAGGCAAGGATACAAGCCGAGGGATTTTGTTTCTCACAATAGAAACAAACCCTCGAGGTCTGTCTTTTTGCCATTATTAATTAAAAATTTATAAGTCAAAGATGGAAAAAATAGAAAATAATAACAAGCCAGGAAACGTGGCTACCGCTTAGATAAAGAGGTGTCTGCTGTCGTTAAGATATGCCCACACCTGAGGGCTGGAGAGAAGGCTCAGAGGTTAAGAGCATTGCCTGCTCTTCCAAAGGTCCTCAGTTCAATTCCCAGCAACCACATGGTGGCTCACAACCATCTGTAATGAGATCTGGTGCCCTCTTCTGGCCTGCAGACATATACACAGACAGAATATTGTATACCTAATAAACAAACAAACAAACAAATAAATAAATAAAGATATGCCCACACCAAGTGCTCACTTAAACACTTGCTCTGGTGGTCATGTCTCGTTGTTCCAGACTCCTTACCTATGAGTGTCACAGAGATGTATTCCTATCCTAACTCAGCCTTCTGCACCCCTCAACCAACCAGTCGGCCCTGGGCACTGACAAAGCAGCAGAAGGCCAACACGGAAGCACTTACTGTCCCTTGGCGTCCCTCACGTCAACCGCTTCGGGGTTGTCTGCCATTTCGAGCAGGAGTCTCAAGCACAGCGTGTGCCCATTAACAACTGGAAAAGAAAATGACGGACGTTCTTTTAACAAACCAACGCTGTAGCTGTTTCTCCAAAGCCAAGCTGATGTGAACGTCAAATCAATGGCTTCCCTCTGCTCTTAGCAAGCAGCCCTGGTTCCCAGTTCAAGGGGGGGGGGATAGCTCAGGGTCGGCCCTTTCTTCCTGCCTGCAAACTCTCATCTGTACCTTCCTTTTCTGTTTCCAGAGTTAAGGGAGTTTTCCTTAAATTTGCTGTCCTTTCTTGTCTCCTTGTATGGACCTGATAAGTCCCCTCCCCACCCCCCACGCCAGTCCCGCTGATAAGCTCTCCGCGTTCATACACCCATCTTGTGTCAAGCCCATTTCCAGCCTTTTTTTTTTCAAAAAAAAAAAAAAAAGAGCAGAGAGCAGGAGGAATAGAGAAGAGAGAGAAAGAGGGCAAGGGATGGAGAACAGAATGGGCCCAGCTCTTCCGGATCAGTAAATTCTAAGCGTGATATCCGAGCAACAGTTCCCATTGATTAGCCGTGGCTGATGGTGAAACTCCAAGGCAGGATAGTAAGCACATTCCCTCCTCACTGACATCTTAGCCATGCTATAGCAGGTGACTGTAGTTACTGTCCGCCTTCCTCTTCCCTCCTCTCCCTACTGATGCTGAGAGGGGACTCAGAGGCCCCTAGTTAAGGCTGCTGGCTCTTACCTGCCCCCGCCACCCAGCAGTGCCCAGGAGATTGAGTGTAACCCTAGCGCCACGTTCACCTTAAACAGCCTGGGGAAACAGCAACAGGATGTACCCATGGGCATAACTAAAGATGCCCCTTTAGAAGAAGGCGGTCCCTAAGTGAGTGCAAGGGATGCTGGGAAGCAAATCTCGCGGGACAATAAACCCTAGAATTCAGTGTGTTCTCAGCGTCCGTCCGTGGTGTGTATGTAGGAAATATTATGAGTTAGAATTCCATGCAACATTTTATGACTGCTGCTGCTGTTGTTCTTAAAATTATACAAGGCCTTGTTACCTCGTTGAAATCTGCACGGAGCTTAATGTGTGCCTTAAAAGGAAAAGATTGGCGTAGGCTGGACAGCTACATCCCCTCGGCACCGGGTTCAGGGGTGGGAACTCCAGATCCTGGCTTTTCTTTCTGTATTTATTTGATAGTCTTTAATGCTCAGAATCACTCCAAGGATATTTCAGTTTTGACCAGACATAAGGAAAGACTATCTGGGCTCCCACTGTGCGCCTACTGCATCACGTGACACGATCATTTCCAGTGGGGTTTCTGCTTCTCCACCACAGTTGTCTGTCCTTACCCAACACCCCCCAGGAAAATTCAGTCCCCCTTAGGGTGGCAAACCTGTTCTCCTTGGGTTCCCACACACTACAGTCTCTCCAAGTTGTCTTCTAGCAAAAGGACATTAGTGTCTTTAGCTGTGCCCTGCCATCTCCGTCCCTCTGTCAGACTGGTCCAGCCTCTCCCAGATGTGAAGGACAGCCACAACTGTCTCTGTGTTTATCTGTGCCAACCCCTCATTCTGGCTGCCCCTCCTCACAGACTCCGAGGGTCTGAGACAAAGGAACTGGCCTCTCCCGTGAACTGGAAAAAATTCTGGCTAAGTGGCTCCTCAAATCTCAGGCTGAAGCTCCTGCACAGCAGACATTTTGTGGAAGATGGTCAGATGACAGTCTGTCTTTTTAGTGAATGGCATAAGGGGAAAGCCAGCGTGGGTCTTCCTGACCACTAGGGGGCACCCTTGGACCACACCTCCATCACGGTGTCAAATGCGCGAGGCTGGTCCTTCATCATTTACCTGTTTTATGGGGCCATCTTCCACAACCAAACCAGCCACAGGCAATTGTTAGGAATTACCTGGTAACAAAGCAGAAGCTTGGCTATGCTAGGCAACAAATCTTTAAAAAGAGCAAACTAAGGAAGCCTAAGAAGCAAAACTACTGGCGAGAAACAGAAATTTATAATTGGCTATACCAGCCATCACTGACATTTCCCCGGAGATAACTGTTTCCAGATAATCAGGCCACAGGTAGGCTTTCTCTGTCTTAGTACTGGGTCGTTCAGTGGCTTGGGTGTTAAGGCATAGCAAGACCCTTAACGTCTGTATTTATTTTGATGTGTGTTTGTCAAGTTGTGCACGCAGAGAACCAGGAATAACTTGTAGGAGTTGGTCCTCTCTTCTGCCCTGTGGGCCCCAGTGACCAAATTCAGGCCATCAGGCTGGTGGTAAGAACCTTTGCCCCCTGAGCTCTCTCGCCGGCTCTGACAAAAATATACCGGCCTGTCTAGTGTTCCTAAAAGACTTTCCAGTAGTGAGAACCGTCCACATCTTTTAAACATGTCCTAACTCCTTCACTTCCCCACCAGGACCACCTCATCTTCTGGGCTCTTCCGGGTCAGATAAAGAACAGTAAATACAAGCATGTTGTTCTGAGCGTTTGCCAGGGACTGGTCCCAGTCTATGGTCTGCTTCAAAATAGTAACGCCTTCCCATTTTAATCATGCATTGTGGCGCCCAGCTGTGCAGGCTGATATACGATACAACCCCGGCTTTTCATCTAACTCTTGAACATTAGCTTTCAATTCTCAGGTAAATACGTGAGGCTAACTCAGCAACACATGGGGAGGCATTTTTCTGATGAGCCCTACAACACCAGGGCATTCCTGTTCTCTCTGGAATTAAGTCTTTTCCTTCTTAGAAAGACAGATCCATTAAATATTTTCTAATGCTATTCTGAAAGTACCCCAACAGGGTCAGGGCTTGACTATGTGGGGCATTTTTTCCTGGAAGTAAATAAAATATATCCTTTTTCATTTGTATTTCAAAAAAAAAAAAAAAAACAAAAGATGCCGACCACTGCCCTTCAAAGGCTAACACCACAGCATTGCCTGAGCCAAAAGGTGCTCATGCGCTAGCTGGGCCAGAGTCTCCCACATGGCTTTCACATCTGCGCACATCTGTGCACGTCTGGAAGTGTCCCTTCCTGTGGACGGCAGAAACATCCCAGGAAAGTCACGTCTCTTGCTGACTGACGTGCACAGGTACCTGTTTCTGCTTTGCTCTCGGGTGCATCAAAAGCAGAAGGGAAAGAACCCCGCGTGGGTGGATGGAACGGTGTGCTAATTAGCTCGCTGTCTGTGATCCCTTGGCACAGCAGGTCCTCGGGTGTTGTTAAAGCTTTATGATTCTGATGTGGCTTGCTCGGTCTAACTGACTCTAGAGATCACAGTGTAACTCCCTCCCCACTCGTCCCCCCACCCCTGTTCAGAAGTCTAAGGCTCTGAGGCTCTTTCTCTGGGGAGAAAGCACCTATCACGTCTAAGGAGGAAGCCGATCAAAAGCATTTTGGAAGCATTCGGGTATGCATGGTGTAGAAATAAAACTGAGATGTTAAAAATCAGGATTTGGAAGATGTTGCTGTCCTTTGTGGGGGTGGGGTGGGGGTGGGGAGAAGCCTAGGGCCTGGTGCATGCTAGGCACATGCTTGGTGAGCCTAGGGCCTGGTGTAACGCTAGGCACATGCTTGGTGAGCCTAGGGCCTAGTGCATGCTAGGCAGCTGGTTTCCCTCTGAGCTACAGCCCCAGTCATAATCCTTTTAAAATCTTTTTTAAAAAAATTATCAATTTATTTATTGGGGTGGTGTGTGTCCTATGCATTTGGATGACAGGAACCTGCAGGAACTCAGGTCAATCAGGCCTGGTGGCAAGCACCTTTATCTGCTGAGTCGCCTAAGCTGATTTACACTCTTCTTTATAACTATACATGAATCACAAAACTCGGGAGTAACCTGGACCTTCGCGGAGACCTACCTGAGGCGTGAAGCGGAGTCCTTTGGGTGACATTGTCTTTCACAAAGATGGACGCACCCTGGTTAACGAGCGCTTCCACGCATTCCGTGTGGCCTTTGAAAGCAGCTAGGTACAAAGCCGTCCGGCCTTTCTCGTCCCTGATGTCCAGGTCCACCAGCGACTGGAGAAGGACCTTCAAGGCTTGGTGGTGCCCATTGTAGGCCTGCAGAGAAGAAAGGCACACACATAGCACCCTCGCCTGCTGCAAATTCCATGGCATCCACCTTCACGGCTGAGCTTCCAGAGCCACTGACTCCTGCCTGAGTCGGGTGTCTAGTCCTACTGCAACTTGAGACGCCATGTTTGGTTGATGTCCCCTGGGAGGCCTTCTCTGAAAGGAAGTGGGTGAGGGGAGTGGATCTGGGGCAGAGTGGAGGTGGGGGACACTGGGAGGAGAGGAGGGAGGGGGGGATGCAGTCAGGATATAATATGTGAGAGCAGAAAGAGAGGGAGGGAGGGAGGGAGGGAGGGAGGGAGAGAGGGAGGGAGGGAAAAAGGAGGGAGGGAGGAGAGAAGGAAGGAAGAAAGGAAGTAACAGTCTATCGGAGCAATACTTGGGATGAATCTGCAGCTAGCAAACTGAAGTTAGACCAAAACACTAATTCACAAGCCTCTGGTTGCCTATAAATGCTTTTTTTTTCTCCCTTGCCAGCTAATTTGCTCAAAGACACCACATCCATCAATGTGTGCTTATTAGACCTACTGTTACAGTGATCTAATAATGAACAATGGCTGTGTGGCTTACACGGTCCTCTACCAGGAGGACCCTACACAGAGCGATGGACAATGAGAACGTGTTCAGGATCTTTTCTGTTAATAAAGCTGGGGGGTGGGGGGATTACTGGAAACGTTAGGGCTCTGTGACTCACTCCAGGCAGGCAAACCTTCCCTCACAGCCTACCACGTGACCAGCTACTAACCACGAGAGTGTAGGTGCGTTCCTTAATTGTGCTTAGAGCTTTGTTTCCGAATCTATAAACTGAGAACAATAAAAGCTGCCTCCTGGGACTGCCACAAAGATGAAGAGAGAGAGAGAGACTGCGCCAGTTCTGCACAAGATCTGAGACGCAGGGAAAGCCTTCCTGCCTCTTTATTTCTTCCGTTGATCATAATGAAGCCACAGAGACAATTAGGGGAATATAGGGCACGGGCTGGGGCCAAGTTCAGACCCATTATGAGAGACTGCATACTATTCAGAGCAAGAGAGTAAGTCTGAGACTCTTAATTTAGTCTTTAAAGGAAAGAATACTCCCCGCCCTCCCAATACAGAAGCGAGGGATCTGACAAGTAAAAGAGAGGAAGGGGTGGGCTATCTGGGGTGGAGTGGGTGAGAAAGACAAGAATGAAATAGGAAAGGTCTGTCCCTGTGTCCTTAGACATCAAAGACCCTCTCTCTTGTCGCCGGCATTTTTCTCCACCACTGTACTGTTTCTCAGGCCACCACGTATTTGCAAAAGACCTCGCACAAAGGATTAATTTCCTTACTATAAAAAGAACTTTTGGAATCCAGGAAAAGTGTTCAAAGGACCTGAGAAAGCAACTCACAGAAGAAGAAGAAGGAGAAGGAGGAGGAGAAAAAGAAGGAGAAAAAGAAGAAGAAGATGAAGAAGAAAAAGAAGGAGAAAAAGAAGAAGAAGAAGAAGAAGAAGAAGAAGAAGAAGAAGAAGAAGAA